TATCAGGTTTGGCGGTTGAGCTCTATTGATTCAAAACTATAGAACAGAAGAGACCCCTCCTAAGGACCAGTCTCGAATTCCCTTATAGGACTAGTTCTCAAGTTCTAAAAGCCTCAAATAAGGTAGAAATGGAGATTCGCGAGTGATGCTTAGCGTTGAGCTAAGTAAACACATTGAGCGCCGCAGTGCCACATGCACATTGCTCCAGCTAATGCATCCTGGCGCACCTGAGGACGCACTCCTCAGCAGTATCCCTTTCACCATTACCGTATCCCTCCCGTCCCCTCCTATGCGCTCCTCATCTCGCCACATCGTCATCATCCATCCGGACAGCTGGTACTCAACTGCTGAACAAACTGATGCGCTCGTCACGTTTGCGCTCACCTTGCACTCGAGAAACTCTTCGGACACAATGGACACTTATGGGCTTGTCCTTCTGGGGCTAGCTGGCCTGGTTCGAGCTCACCGTGTTCACGTGATTCACTTCTGGCTGTAGCTGGCTCGGAACTGAGTCTGAAAAGTAGAAGTTTTAAGAAAAGTTCCAATCGTTCAAAGCAATTGTCAAACTCGATTTAAAAAGGTGATATTTGAGTGAAAAAGAAGGAATTAAAAGGTTTTTGAGGGGCAAATCAAGGAAGAACTAGATCGCTAGAGTCTTTGATAGATATAACTATATAATTTCGTTTTTTATACTGCTGTGCTCAAGGATGTGAGTATTTATTGAAGCAGGATCTCTTGGAAATCACCGTAACATACAATATCTACTTTCAGATTAAATAATAACATTAAAAATTCATACAAAGAATTTCATCCTTCAAGAATTTCTCTCGTTTTTATGCCGTTAATTAGTAAATGAATGTCTTCAGTTTCCCAAATGAGAAGATAGTATAGAAACAGTTACTATAATCGAAGTTTAGCTGAAGGTAATTATATTGGTAAAGAGAAATCTGTGGATTTAAAAGTGAAATCTGCGGAGCCAATTCATTACTAACATCTTGTTGATTTAGAATGTATGGAAAGTTGAAATGGAGAGATGTCATCATCAAATATGTGTAAAGCTGGGACACTCTTCATTACCTTTGCACTTGTCGTTTTGTTCACCAAAAATCCAATAAGATTTCAGTCTTAGCCTCTAGCTTTCAAAAACATGAAATTAAACTTCCAAGGTCAAGGGTCAAGCAGAGTGCATTTGAATTTGAATAGCCAAA